TTAATGTTCGCGGATTTTTTTTTAAAAATGGCGGGTGCGGCTTATAGTCCGAAAAATACGGTACTTAAATCAGATCCACCTGTGGGAAATCTAACTAATGATGTGTCTTCTAAAGGTAGTTGAAGCAAAGAGGGTGAATATACATATATATGTTTTACTTTCAGTTTGATACTTTTTATAAATAGAAATGCCATTTTTTATGTGGTAAAGGTTCATTTAATTAAAGAAACATTCTGTGTATTTTTTCGGTCTGTRACTTACCTTCATACATGAGTTTGGTTGTTCTGAGTCCATCTGTGTCAGTTTTGCTGTCCTCTGTGATTTCCCCCTCTGAAAGCTCAGTCAGGCGGGTTACACACACCTCCAACCTGCAGACCAAACCGCAACGACAGTGCTGCTCACCAGCAGGAGGGAAGATCTCTGCTCTCACGCTGTACAGTGTCTGCCAGCAGGAAGCACAGAGGGTTAGACACCTTCAACAACTCTCAGTCTCACAATCTTTAAATATTATCACTTATAAACTGAATAAAATCAGAAAACGTGAGTCAGTTTTCTTTTCAAACTAAGGATTACTTGAGATGAGAAAGAAAGCTGGGATTCTTACAGTGACTCTCTCGAGCTGGAACTGGTAGTGGAACGGTTTAAAGGCACAGGTGTCCTGGTTAGTGGGAGAGAAGCTGGCAGAGAAAACACACTGTAGACAGGAAGGCAGCTCGTCCTTCCACCTCACCTCCCACAGGCAGAACACACTGTGTTTACTGCACAGCAGCTGCACACGCACAACACACAACACAGAAAATCAATCACATGTCAGATGTGTTCAGGTCCACATCTTCATCCTCCACTTGGTATTTCAGTTCTGAATTAGAGTCTCTTCCTCCTCACCTGATGTGTTTTAGCGTTGAAAGACTGCAGCTCAAGTGATGCGTGCTCCTTTTCTGTCAGCTTCACTTCTGCCAGCGTGAAGTTCACATCYGACACGTTCTGCACACACACCTGGATGTACTTTCTGTGGAAGGTCAAAAGTCACACTGAGTGGACGAAGGTATGTTGTAAACCAGAGATTCTTAACCTATGGGCCGTGAGCGCCACCTTGAGGGCCTCAAAAGAACAACAGTTTTTAAC